ACGGGGCATTCGTGCAAATATTGTGTGCGTGCGCGCGCACGTTTGATTTGGGTGTGTGCCGTTGCTTATGTAGAACAGAAACAGACTCCGGTAGCAAATGTCACTTTGGCCATCTGCTCCTCAAAGCGGCTGCTTTGGCTCGGAAACCTTGTTTAACGTGGAAGTGGTACTGTGAATAGAGGTGACGCGCTGACAGCCGGGCACGTCTTAATAGGCACGTGGAGCACACACTCGACTTCACTGGAAAAATAAGAAAAGAAAAATGAGACGCGCGGAATTCATTCTCAAGACCTATTGTTATCACAGTTTTACAGCGTATCTTTGCTGCCTTAGTTTGCCTATTTAAAGCAAGTACGTGTGTGTGTGTGTGTGTGTGTTTCTAGTCTCAGGAGCACTGGGACAGCGTCTAAGCCGGTCCGATTGCAAAGTCCAGACGTGGCAGTGTTCCCTGATTGTCTTTGTCCTGCCAGCCGAGCTACAGCTGTGCGCCGGTGTAGGTTGTGCTGATGCCAATGTGCTTCTGTACACACCTAGAATGCACATGTTGGAGCAGACATGGCAGAACACACCGGAGATGCACAGTGTTGTGTTACTTACCGGCTCACTGAATTATGACCAGTGTTATTCAGCCGTGTGGTAATCTCTAGATGCACTTTAATACGATATATCAGCTCAGTAGAGCTCTGTGGTACTGGACTTTAAAGCAGGTACTGATATTAATATGTTCGTGTTTCAAAGATCTGACAACAAAATCTTTTTCAAAAAGAGACATTATATGACATTTTTTTAAGGATCTTTTTTTTTCACGATTTGAAAGATTTAGTATTGTCTGTATCTTGAAATCATGAAGTCGGTTTACACGAGTTCATGCCTCTTTATATGTCGTGTTACCCTCGTTGTGACTAACCTTTTGCTTTTATCTTGGGCGATCGTCTTCCTACTTCTTTGGCAGTAAGTACTCTAAAAGAAGAATGCACGTGAACACGTAATGGCAGCTCATGTGATTTAGAGAGCGAGTGGTATTTACACAGCGTGAGTTCCTTCCCACGGTGCGACAGATTTGAATTAGCGAAATGGCACATGCATCAGGATTATGTTCGTATGTTGGTTTAATGTTTTGCTTTCGCAAATAAAGAAAAGAAAGAGAAAGAGAAAGATTTGCTTTAGTGCATATTTTGCCGTTCCTTTTTTAAAATTAGGAATCATTTAACTAAATTGCCACATTGCCATCTGGTTTGAGGATGCAACACATGCAAAAGAGATGCAATTTTCCTTTTCCATAAAGGAGGGACGAGTGGAGTTTTGGAATTGCAACGTATGTCACTGACACGGATCAAAATTGTAAGCAAGTTGAGGCGGATTTGATACAAAATCTCTCGTACAAGGTGTTGAAGTAGATATCATATCCAACAATCTGTTTCCTCACACACCGTGTACCATTGATTAGTGCTCTGTGTAATGTGATTGTGTGTGTATATATATATATATATATACACACACACACACACACTATTTTCGTCCTCAGAATCCTGAGATAGGGCCAGCATTCATTACTACCTGCCGCCTCGCAGACACACTCCTCTCTCCCACTCTGTCTGGCTGGCTGCCTAGTCATCGGCAGCTTGCACATGTGGCCAAACTGTAAATCAGATTCAGACTTTCCATTCAAGTGCCCCACTCCAGGGACTGCGCTGGCCTTTATTCCGACCTTGTGGACCTTTTTATAGGCTTAGAAAAGAGCAGCAGAAAGGAGATAGCTCCATAGTTCACGCAGAAATGAAGAGCTGAGTGTCTCTTACCTTTGATTAAAATCTGACCTCGTGGCATTTCAGAAAATTTGTGCATTTGAGTTGCATTTTCTTTTTTCTTTTTTTGGAGTCTAGTATTTGGGCGTGCAGTGTAAATCATGCACAGTTTGTTCTTGTGATTTATTTATTTTTTCTCTCTTGTGTGATTAAGGTTTGTTGTAAGTGATACTCTCCTGCCAGAGCAGAGCTGGGCTCATGTTTTGGTCTTTTGCCCCCTCACAGCTGAGGCTCCGAAGAGAGTTTGGCAAGGCGCAAGCTGTTCACTCCCCCCCTCCCCCCCACTCCCTCCCTCTCTATCCCCCGCTCTATCTCTTCCTTCCATCACACCTGATTGCATTTGACAAATGCCCCTATTGGCTCCATATCATCAGGTGCAGTGGAGGCAGCCTAAGACTATATTACTCTGCCCATACACCACATCTGTTCTCCATTTTGCATGGCTGACACACTTGCTTCTGCTAGGCTCGAATGGCGCCAAGGCCCTGTCAGTGGAACAGCTTCATGCAGGTTGCATCAGCTGGGGGGGGGGGGTTTGGCGAGGGCGTTGGACATGGCTGCTAGCGTCAACGGTAATCTTTTAGAAGGTGTGGACCAGGCACAAGGGGCACAGTTATTCACCATGGGGGGAAAAAAATCATGTTCACGACTATTCTATTGACAGACACAGTGGGCTTTTCATTTTCCTTCATTGATCACTGAAAGCGAGGTCTGGACCCACAGCGCTGCACTTCCGTCTACGTTGCCCGCTGAGCAGGCATCACTGCACGTATGCACACTATGATGTAACCGATTCAGTGCTGAATAATGTGGCTGAAAGCATCACAAATGACTTTTAGAGATACAGCGGTTTGATACTTGTGTAATATGAAAAAGCATTTACTGCCTAAAGAATCAACTAAGGAAGCAGAGTCGGCTATTTCCAAAATACGTGGACATTTTCTGTTTAACCCCCCCCAAAAAAACCCGCTTACAACAAACATTTTTGTTGTTGTTGTGAACTATCATTATTAGCCAGTCCTTAACCTCACTCTCACGCTCCAGCTGAACTGCCACTGCTATATTACCTCAACCTGTGACACTTCTCCTTGCTAGCTGATTATGAAATACAGACTCTGAAAGTGACTTTGGATAGATTTAAGGTGGGGTGGGGAGGGAGAACACTGTCGTGCCTCCTAACAGGGAGGGACACTGATGGACTGTCATGGCCGGGGTCTCATCAGCAGGAACGCAGGTAGGGTCGTCACAGTAGTCACCATGCGGTGGCAAGGTCAGGTCACATCAGCCCAGCCCCCCCCCACACACACAAAGAAGACGCCGAGTTGAAAGGCGACGCGGCAAAAAAAAAAAAAACAACCTCCCCTCTACCTCGACTCCGCTTGGTCGATATCTTTGGAATTACTTTCAATTTGGAAGGAACATATTGAGGAAGGAGGATAAAAAGAGGTGATGGAAAAGTATTGGATTAAAAGTCACGGGGGGGGGG